ATTACATACAAATATTTTTTTACATTATGGACAGGGTCCATAATTGGGGGGGTCCACATTATGGACAGGGTCCGTAATAGGGGGGTCCACGATAGGTTCAAAGTCCATCGAGGGGGTCCGTAATACGGACAAAATTTTTTTTTCTTGTTTCATCATTAAAATAAAAATAACAAAACTTTTTGATAAAAAAAAAATTTGATGTTGTTAAAAAAGAATCAAACGACTTATACGTTATGATACAAGGTGTAGTTTTATTGACCGTTAGACACAAAATAAAGTTGAGCTCGAAATTTTTCTTAAAGGGTCCATAATTGGGACAGATACCCTAGTTTATCCCCTAAAAATTGTAGGTGATGCACGGGCAGATCATCCAATTTCGACGAAGTACATTCGCCAGCGATGGATACACCTATACTTGGGCCGGATGCTCGAGATAAGATTTTTCAAAGATCTTGGCGCCTCGTACAAAGCAAAGAGAGAGAGAAAAATCAAACAAACAGCGGTGATTGCAGAGGTGAGGAAGAGAGCAGCGCCCGCGTCATGGAGACATACACACATGTATATTCCACGAAATAGTCGCGAAGAGAGAGATTTACTCGTCGCGATCAGGGCGTATACAAGTATATTGTAGGTACCCATTGCGGAGGGAATCTCGAGACGTGAATCATTTTCATCACCCGCTGCAATTCAACGTAAGAGGCGACTCTGCGCGCGTCTCTGTCGGCAAACAGAGTGGTAAACTTGCGTGCGTGCAATGTACGTGTACCTATGTAGGATGACATATTATACGCTTGTCGCTGAAACCCGGAGTGAACGAGAGAAGAAAAAAAAAACAGCGAAGCACAAACATGTTATTCGGCTGGTGGCTTAACTGTTTTGTTTGGTGAATCTCAAGCGACGTTCGATTTTTCGCAGCCCCTGGTAATGCACCACGATTTGATTTTCCCGTGAATAAAATTCAGTTAAACAAAATTAAAATGCCCATACTTGCTTGTTGGACGCACAAACAATATAGTTTGTATGAAATTTATCTAGCGCAGCGCGAAAGCAGCACAAGTATCTCTCATTTGGGTGCGGTGCGGAAAAAGCTCACTTTTGCGCTCACGTTTTTGCGCGCAATACAAAGTAGCGCAAAAATCCACCTGCCTCGCGCGCTCGTTGCGCAATAACGTACACCCAAGTGTTTTTTCCCCCTTGCTTTCTCTTTTGCACACCTCCGCACAGCCGCTTTAAACACGCACGCACCGATATACGTTTAATAGACCGCCCCCTCTCTCTCTCTCTCTCTCTCTTTCCACCGGGTTGATGTAAGCATTCTTTTAATAGACATCCGGTCTGTGCTTGTTGTTATCATTATTATGAGTATTTTTTTTTTTCCCCCTTCGGCAACGAGAGTCAGAAATTCAGGTAAAGTAACCATACGTACATACTCGAGGCTCCTCTTTTTCCAGTGGGCCATCGATCGTCGCCACGGGATGACAATGGTTTTATCGATGCCGATGCATGTACAAGCCGACACAACGGGCAAAGCCTTGCGTGTACAATAAACCCCCCAAAGATCGACGATGATGACCAACATTTCAGCATCTCGGGAACTTGCGTGATTCGCTATTGTTCCTAATTTATCGTGTTTTGCTCGCGGTACATAAGTATGAATAAGTATGCACTCACGCAAACTGTCGCACCGATGTACAAATAATACGACCGACCGATACCGATTTTTTACTTATATATCATACTTCCCCTTACCTAATTATTATATCTTGCACACGAGCGAACACGTGCGCGCTGTGACAGTATATTATATATACATGTTATTCACCGTGTGTGTATATTATACCACCGAAAATTCGACTCCGCGCGTGCAATGCTGCGATACTTTAGTGTACCTATATGTATGTACACATATACATTACTATATTGATCGGCACGATTCAACCCCCGTAACCCCGTTCTTGGGTACTTGGATATCATTTCAAGTGTCTAATCCACAGTATTTGCTCCACAAATCAAATGGGTGTAAGTTAGTATACTTATACGACACGTACACACGTCGCTCTTTTTTTATACGGTACGCCGTACATTACGCACACGTATAGCATGTAGAAGAGAGGGGGGGGAGGGGAGAAAAAAATTGAACAAATAAATGCGACACCACGAAATGACGGAGAAAGATCAACGAACCGTTAAGTATATTTTTAAGGCATCCGCCGGTGTACGATTAGGCACAAGTAATATAATATATACTCATGCGACGTGGAAAGGAACAAGTTGGTAAAGTAAGTATGTAATGTCCAGGCATATAGGGGGACGGAAACAAACCCAAAGTTGAGTATCGAAGGTCGACCAAAAAAAGCTCGTTGGTGTTGCGTTAAGTAGCGCGCGCGTGTCCTTATCGTTTCACATCGGACCACGTGGGTGACTCGCATTCGCGGCACACGCTCTCTTGTCCATGAGAGTGTAATCCTCGATGTGTGCAGGGGATCAACGACACCGCGCAATATACCAAAAACTACCTCTACGCGTGTATATTATATACTTACTTGTATATATATGCGTACATAAATTAATTAACGTGAGAGAATTTTTCCGTGCGCTCAGCTGTACGTGTTATTAAGTGTACACATGTAAAGGTATGGCGCAAGAATTTCGTGTATGGGCCATTCGAAAGGGGGAAAAAAAAGGCTAAAATAGTCCTCGAGTGTGGGTATGTGTCTCTTCAACGCTTGTATTGTAATATAAATACTTTATGACGCGTCTACAAGTTCTTACAAACTACGATACAGTGCTTTTAATACAAACATGATACAAAGCAAGTACAATACGTTCACCCCGATGGCATTGTGTATCAAGTATTGGGCGCTTCTTTTTCCCACGTGAACTCATCCTTTTAACGACGACTCTCCAAACCTACCGTGCTTCGAAAGATTTTTGTTGGCGTTAAAGAGACCGGATAAATGGCCCCGTTTACGTTGTAT